TTATTTAAAACTTTTTTTATATTAAGTAAATCACTCTTTAGCTTCTAACAAAAGTTGTAGAGCTTATCAAAATGTATTTAATATTATAAAGATATTAAAATTGGCCCAGTAGTTCTTAAGAAATCTTTAAAAAACTTCTTTTTTATATATAAAATTTTTTAAAATAAAATTAATTTTTTTTAAAGAAATTTATAAGTGAAAAAGAAGTTTTTTAAAAATTTCTCAAAAGCTACTAGGCCAATTTTAATATTCTTATAGTATTAAATATATTTTGATAAGCTCTACAACTTTTGTTAGAAGCTAAGGAGTATAAATAAAAGTTTAAATAGAGGCACTGTATATTTATATTTATAGTAAAATTTATATATAAAAAAATTTTTTTTGTACTAGATGATTGGAGAATTGCCTATTAAATTAAATTTGGTATTGTAAATACAATTTGTAATATGGTTTTTGTAACTTGTATATCTAAAAAGTTCTTAGCAAAAAAAAAAATAAAAAAAATAAAGTGAGATTATAATTATAATATGTACTAGCAAAATAATTTGATATTGTAAAGTTATTATTTTTTTATATTGTATACTAGGTAAAGAATCAGTAATATAATATTAATATTTTCTCTTGTTGTAAAAACCTTTTAAATAATAATTATGCAAATAATAAACAAAAATATTAGAAAAAAATTAATATCCAACTAATTACTTTTTTAATATTGTTTATTAAATTATTAGAATGTTCTATAGAATAGGTAGGCAAACTCTGCAAACTCTGCAACTTTGCTAAATATTTATTAATAATTACTAATTAGTAGTGAAGTTTATTTTTTATATTGCCCATCTATTCTATAGAATATCCAATTATTATATAGATTAAACTATGATTATTTGTATAAATTGATCAATTGAATTATTCTAACCAATTAGTTAATACCTTTTTAATTCAAGAGTTTTTTAAAAATCTGCTAATCAATGTTACTGGTTTTCAAAAACAAACTCTTTCTGATGATTACTTGAACCATATTTTTTGAAAAATATTTTTTGCAAAAAGAGACCTTACAAGCCGGCACTTAATATACTAGACAATAAGTTAGCACCTGTTGTTTAGAAATAGTTTTCATATACTACTTGCTGACAGGCCCAGAGTTTATCACTCACTGCAAAATCTCGGCACTTGTTATTTAGAGATAGTTCTTATATGCTACCTGCCAACAAGCCCAGAGTTTATCACTCACCAAAAAAATGTTAAGCAGATGTTGGGCGGTGAGTTTTGACTATAGAAAAGAAAACTTACACTCTTTTAAATTGGTTTAAAGCTTAAGTGGTCTCTCTTTACCTCTCGTCATTTTTTCATCAGTTTTCAAAATTTTTTTATAAAAAGTGGGGATTTGGCTTACTTCTTCCAAAAAATCAGCATTGTTTACTTACCAAATCCAAATAGACCAGTAGATAGCAACCACGTGTTTGAAAACAAATACATTATATAGGCCCTGGAACAAGTCTCTGTCAAAAAAGGAATCCCTAGTGGTGGCACCAAGTGGCTTGAAATACAAATACCTAAGTGATAGCACCTTTATGGAAATGTCGCGATTTTTGTCATTGTTGGTACCGTATATGGAGAGTCAGATCCTAGTATAGCAGCAGCACTTGGTTTGAGATATGAACTAGATTATTAAAAAGATTCAGAAATAGGTCAGAAGGAATTTTAATGTTAAGTTTAGTCTTACAACAGAGATATATAGATGTTGCATCTGGTATATAATTTTTAAATCACCTGGTATAGGTTATAATAGTGTATTTGGATCACTTAATTTTTTCTTTTTTCTGCTTGTTTCATCTATTTTCATTTATATTAAAATCGGTTTAGGTTCCCTTTTCCTTTTTTTTTTGTTGTTTCATTTTTTCTTTTGAGCTCTGTTTTCTTTTTTAGAACAATTTCTATTTTTTTTCAGTTATAAGAGAGCTTTTAGAGATTTTTTTTAAATGTACCTTCCTTTATAATGTTGGCATATATGTTAGTCATATGTAAAAGTAGAAGGTAATATATATAATCTGCTAGAATTTAAGTGGATTGAGTTCGGGAAGATATTACTAAAATTTAAGGTGAGATAGTTTGAAAGAAGAGATTAGCGCTTAAAAGAAGTCTTTCTTTTGTAAATTGGCATATATGTTTGCACTATGAAGAAGTAGAAGAAAATATATTCTGCTTGAATATTGGTAGAATAAGTCTAGAAGGAAGGTAAAATATAATCGGTTCGAACGTAGATAGCTGAGTACCAAGCTATAGTAGGTTTTTAAATATGGATAGCACCATATGTGAAGCTTGTTGTCAACATCAGTGCAATAACTATACTTGGGCACTTTATAGTAGCCGGGTATATGCCTAATACGTAAATTAGTTAGTTAATTTTGTAAATTACAAAAATTTGATAAATTAGTGCGAGGTTATTAAAGTAAAAAAAAAAAAAAAAGATCTGCTAATATATTTATATATATTACTTATAACTTTTGATATGATATCTAATTTTTTTTATAATATATAGCACTATTTGTATAATATTTTTATTATTTTCTTAAAAATTGTCTAATTTTATTAATAAAATTTGTTTAATAAAATTTTTATATAATCACAAATTATATTTTTATTATATTTTTATTATATAATTATAATTACTATAGTGTACTAGCCAAAGTACCTAGTGTGATATGATTTTTTACATAGTAAAAAATTAAAAATAATGTGTATTATACAATTGTTTACATCACATGCCACATATAAATAATATTTTAAAAAATTGATCTATATTATTTGTTATGCCAGGTACTTTAGTCAGTGCACTATAATATATAAAAATTCTTTTATAATAGTCACACCTCTATATAATTACTACTTTTTTTATCCTTAAGGTGTAATTACAGTATATAAAGATTAAACTAATATAATTTTAAAATTAAAATAAAAAAATTTTTAGTAAAATTGATTAAATAGTTGTTGAAATATTTTAATTTAAAAATTAAAAAATTTTATTAAAAATGATAAATTATATTTGATACAGGGTGTACTGTATGTATCTTTATAAAAAATTTGAATTTAGTAATAGTTAGAGTTAGTTTAAATTAGGTTAGGTTAGTATTAGGATTAGGGTTAGAGTTAGACTTAGGGTAAAATTGTGAGAAAATAATTTTTATTGGTTATACAACAGAGTTATCCTAGTAAAATTTCAAGATATAGCAAAGGATGTATATAGTGCAGGATGCACCAAAAATAAACACTCTAAAAACAATTTGTCTCTTTTTATTATATATTATAATATATAAAAAACTCTAACTCTAACTCTAATTTAACTCTAATTTAAACTATAAACTATAACTCTCATCTAACTCTAACTATTTATAAATTAGTTTAAATTAGTTTAAATAGCTATTTTTATAATCTATATTGTGCCACCTATCATATAGACTGATTTATAGAATTGCCAATTTTATTATCAAAACCAACATTTTGATAATAAAATTATTCAAAATGGATCAGTATATCAAAAGTTATTGACAATTCTGTAAATCAGCCCATATGTACAAAAGATTAATATTTTATATAATATATATATGAATTTATCTAACTATAACCAGTGGTGATTATCACCAGGATACCTATATCTCAAAAATGTACTAAGCAAATGGAATCAGATCCTCTAAGTAAAAATATTCAGAATCTCCAACTATATAAGAACTAAAATTGAGCCCTATAAGGCTCTTATAGTAGCTCTATATAAAAAAAAATAATAATTCTCTAATTTCTACCCTAACCTTAAATATATCTTGGGTGGTGGTGATCACCATAGGTTATTTTGATTCTATTTCTATATATATATACTGTATATAAATTAATACAGTATAAAAATTTATTTAAATTTTAAAAATTAATTTTTTAATTGGATATTTCTTGTAATTAACATTGCGAACCAAAAAAGTAGATTTTTTTTAAGTATAATATTTGTATTACTAAATTCTAACTAGCTCTAAAATTTTTATATTAATTATTAGCCTAATCCCCGATCATTATGCCAATTAATGAAAAATTTCCTGATCCGTATGTTTTCGCCAATCCCCAACGGATCAGGATATTATTATTCCAAATTTAATATAAAAATATTTAACAGCACATGAACTAGTTTTAATAAACCTTACATATTAAAATTTAAATTAAAAAATTAATCTTAATATGCAAATCAATATTTTTAAATTTTTTATCAGTATATAAATTTTATGATTAAAAACGCAACATAATTTGGCTTATAAATTAAGCCAAAATCAAAATGTGAACACCCATGAAAAAAATTTACAATGAGTAACGGGCAATATAATGTACACTCCCAATTAAAGTATTCGCCCTACCTTAAATTATCTAAGATAAAGGCCATGAATTTTAATCACTCCTGTAAAATTTATAAACTTTAGTAGAGCGATTAAAAATCATTATTTTAGTTCCGATGATTTAATGCAGGGCAAATACTTTCCTGCAAGGGAGTGTATATTCATCAAGGTGGGGTTCAAATATCAATAATATCTTGAATATCGGCGAAATCTTGAGCTGCCGATACTTAGGCAAATCTAATGAGTTACAAATAAAAGACACATTATTCTTTTTATTGCAAAATTGAAAATCTAAAAGTCCAATGGAGTTCCAGATTTCTGTCAATAACACCGAATTACAGTTTTTTTTTTTATAGCGCTGATTAAAGACCGTAATGCTGATTAAAATATCACTTCTCATTGATCTAAATCCGTACATCGCTTACTATATCTCTAATGACAATTTGATGTTACACGAAAAAGTATTGACTCAATATATATACAAAAAAAACATTTTGTAATGATCAAAAGCTTATGTAAATTATAACCCTAAGAAATCGATCGGCCGATTTTTTTTTAAAAAAAATCGACTGGATAGGCAGAAAATTAATTTTAGCCGATTTTTTTCATTATTGACCAATATCACTAGTTTCAGGTTGAACGCTATAATGTTGTGGATCTACAATCATAGGTCGCTGACTCATCATAACACCATTCGGCGGGACATGCGGTACCATATCATGTGGGTATCGCATCATAGGAATACCTATTATGATCACAAATAAACGTCACGATTGAGAGATAATAAAAAACAGAGTTTTACAGAGAGCCCAAAATCAATATTATTTACCATGCTGATTTTGATATGGTTGGTAAATTTGGGGATGTATACCAGCAGGAACGATCGGGGTACGTCCAGGAGATTGAAATCCCTGTGAACCAAAATGTTCTATAAAGAGAATATAGTTAAATAAAATAAAATAAAATAAAATAATTATTTTTATCCGATAGCTTGCTATGTTAGTACTTCTCAAAAAACTCGAGTTATTTAGCAAGCATAATCGCCATAAACTACCGGATAACGTTATTGTATGCTATACAGCCAACAATTATCTAACTACGAATTTAATATGTCATTTCTGAGCCTATTTGGGTCCAGAAGCGATATATTAAATTTCACCACCAGATAATGCTTCACATTCGATAACTACATAGAATAAGGATAATTGACCACATACGTGGAATCATTGATGAAATCTGCGGACTATAAATCGTAGCTAAAAATTGAAAACCAATGAAATATCTATAAAATATTATATAAATCACAAGGATACGAATAATAATAATAAATAAATTATTTACGTGGAGCGCCAGTCGGTGGCAATGGTGCTGCTGCAGTGAAAGGAATACCTGGAACAAACTAATAAAGAAGAAAACATTAATAAATTGATTAAGTTTTATTTGATCAAAAGAATTGAAACTTACACCTTGCGGCAAATATGGCATGGGTGTCGCTTGTTGCAAGGGCATAGGTGGAACACCAACAAATTGACCAGAAGGATATCGATAAGGGGCAGCTACGGGGTAAGCAGCGAAGCCAAAACTTTGATTTGCAGCTGCTTGTGAGTAGATATCTTCTTCATAGTTGTTGGTAACTGAAAAATGATGCCTAAAAGGTCTTTGACCAAAAGGCCACGTAGGAGCTGTATATTAAGTTAGTATTATCATTCGATAAAAATCACTTATTATTTTAATTGAACTTACGGATTGTACTAGGATTAGGTAAAGACTTGCTCTTCTGGAACGGACTAAAACCATCCTTGAGTGACAAAAAATTTTTTTTTAACTGACGATTACCAAAAAATGGGGACTATAATGATGAAAATAAATCATTTGTTATATAAAGGATTCCAATAATATAAACGTGTAAAACAAAGGGATGAGTTCTCACCGAACCAGGAGATCTTTTATCCCCAGTGCTGGAATTAGGAGTCTGCAATGCATATATTATATAAAAAACGAATAAGAATAAACATGCATTCTAAGATACTTGTAATTTAAAAAAAAACAAAAAAAAAAACAGTAATCATAATAAAATTCAAGATTTAAGTATGAATACAAAAGGTCGTACCGGCGTAAAGCTTGCCGCATTAGGATTAGGTTTCCATTCGGGTGCTTTAACGTTTAGCTTATATTGTGTGTTTGTTTGTGTTGTTACGGGAGCTCTGTTAGAAGGAAATTGTGGTGGAGCTTTATCAGCTGCTGAGGTAGGTTTTTCTGATATAACTTTTTCTGAATTTGTCTTTGACTCCCCATTTGATTTTTGTAATTGAACTTCTTCAATCTTAATTGATGGTTTTACAAACTCTAATTTTTGTTCGGAAGTTTGAGCATTGGTAACCTTTTCTTTTTCTTTTTGTTTGTTATCGTCTATTTCTTTTTCCTTTTCAGTTTCCTGTTTATCTTTATCCTTTTGTTTCTCCTTTTCTTTATCAATATCTTTTTCTTTCTCGTTTGCAGCAGCCTTTGCAGCAAGTTGAAGTTGTTGACGTTTTGTTTCATCTTTAGTCAATATTGGAATTAGATCTTCAGGTAACGGTGAATTCAGCTGAAAAATATTTCATATATTATCTAAATTGAGAGCATCAACCGAATATAAATATAAATGAAATTTCCACATAACACATAATTACCTTGAAATTTTGACCCCACTTAAGTAATTCGGCCATTTTGCCATCCATTTCCTTTTTGAAAATAGCTTGTTTTCTTTGTTGAAGGCGTTCTTTTTCGTTTGTAGCAAATTGACGAAATGTTTTTACAATTTGTGCTAATATAAAATAAAAAAAGAATAAAAAAGAATAAAAAACATATATGGTGAAATCTGTATCAAATTACTCGATACAAGTAAAATAAGTTAATAAATATATATACCTTCGATAGGTTTTCCTTCGGCTTCAGACCCGATTTTCTGATTATAAATGATATTAAAAGTTTAATAAAATGTGAACAAACATATTTAACAAAGCTCATAAAATCTTACCCTCGGAAACTGAAGTGAAGCCATCACGTGTTCAGGAATTCTGTAATTAGATAAAGATGATGTACTTTTTGGTATGGAAGATGTGGGAGAGGCAGGAATTGTGGTAGGTTGTGCAGGTTTTGTTTTAGGCTTTGGATCTTCTGGAGGTTTAACTTTGGTATCTTTAGCAACTTCGTTATTTTGTTCTACTTTTTTTACGGCTGATGCCACACCATTTGGTTGTATTGGTTGTTCTTGTTGTTTTCGTAAGTGTGGTGGCGTGTATTTACTTGGATCCCTATTACGTACAACTGCGCCATATCTTTATTTTTTATATTTGGTAAAGAAAAATAAATTTAATTGACATTTATTATCCATTAAGATATAATGTAATTAAGATATTTCAATGAAAAAATGGAAAAAGCACCTTTCTTCTTCATCCATTTGATCTTCGACAATATGACCACGTTCTTCAAGCATATGAACATTTGTCGTTGATTCCTTTAACAATAAAAAAAATTAATTTATTTTGTTAAATAATAAGTTAAGTTAGAATCAGAATTAAGATAATATACCCGAGTTATTTCATTAGCTAGATTGATGGCTTTTCTTTCTCGTTCCTTATAATCCGCTTTTGATCTATCCAATTTTGTTGTATAGATTTCTTCGTTATAATCGGTTGTTAAACCGAATAATTGTTCATTAACAGCAAACTGATCCCAACTTGCGTTAGCAGACTCTGGGTTTATGTCATCCGTAATATAGAGTTAAGGATTATAGCATTATGACATTATTATATTAAGCAAATTATTGAAACTATAACAATAAATGGTTTATTAAATAATAAACATGAAAGGATATTCTAAACCCTTCATAGCCTCTCCCGATTCATCTGGTGTCCATTTATGAAGTTCACGTTCCCGAATATCAGTCCGACCACTAATATCAGCATCAATTCTAAATCCTAAACTTGAAAATTTTAATTAAATAAATTCAATAATATAAATCAAACAAATAAAAAAAAAAAATAACGAATAATTACCTTCACGTTCGCTCGAAGTTTTTTCAGATAAAGAAAAATCTACGCCGGTTGCGTAAATTTCCATCAAATCTTTAGCAAGTATAATAAATTCATTTATACCATTAGGTATGGCCTTTTCATCTTGTTTAGAAAGGACTTTTCGAGCACATTTCAAGACAACACCCAATTCACTTTCAGTGCAAGCACGGGATAAAAGACCTTGATATTTTATTCCACTTTTGACAGTAACTATAACATTAATACCCTACGAAATTTCAAGTAAATTTAGGAATTGATACAAACCATAATTTAAATAAGTAATCAAATGAAATAGATTTAGTTTACACATTTTACAAATTAGAAATAGAAATTAATAATCATGAAGAGTCACCTACCACAAAATTCGCTAGCAAAAACAAAATACGATCATGCATATGTTTTGCAGCAACCTCGTCGTGAACAACTTGTTGTTCGATAGTTTTAAGGGAGTTTGAGCCGGAAGATGGTGTATTGTTATGATGATTAGAAGACGGTTGAGTAGTTGGAGGGATTTGTTGATTTCTCGGTGTGTTATTAACGAGATGTTGTGAATTGGTATTCCATTTGTTTTTAGAGCTTCGATTGTTATGACTAATCAAATGATACGTTTAAGTATACCCTACTGAAGATATAATTTGCAGGAGACATTTATAATTTACTACCTTTGATTCGAATTTGGGTTAAAAGATTGATAGCCGTCCCTCCGTCCCCCCTTTGATCTCATTGTAGCTGAAGACATGATGTTATAAATGTTCCCTATAAGATAATATAGAAAGAATACTAGAGATTAAAAAAAAATTATCGCTTAGCAGTTGGAGAGTTCACGATCCCCTGATAGATGTAGACGTACCAGTACGAGTTCCACGGAATTATCGGCTTTCGGAAGAGAAAAAAAAAAAAAAAAAAAGTAAGATCGACGGATCAAATACAAAATTGCTGGGAATAATTTTTGTTTTAAAAAGAGTGAACTTGAAACAGTTCAACAAGTATAAGGGTTGCGTAAAGGAAAACGGTGAAGTAAAAAATTCAAATAATACAGAAATGAAGATTTTTCTTTTAGAAACCCAAGCTTAGACTTTTGCTCAGATTAACAGATAAGTCAATTTAGCTGATAAACTGATATGGTACTATCTTGCATAATAATAGTAAATAATAAACCACATAATCACCTATAATCACCTGATTAATGTTATGCTGTTATTTCTAAAAATAGTACAAATAAATAATATTCCTTCGCCGAAATATTATAGAACTATGCGCGTTTTTTTTTTTTTGAGATTAAAACTTTTTGACATTCGCCTTAGATTTTGTCGTATACATGAATTTTTACGCTTAGCAGTTAAGTTAAACTAGATTATGATTTATGATTTAATTAGAAGTTCAATTATCATCGTTGCAATTGATCAAATTCAAATTTTTATGAAATATTATGTATTAAAGAAGGAAATGAATTCGAACGAATCTTTCAAGAAAAGATCGCTATATTGTTCTTTTGTTATATTTTTAACATTAATTATCTGAATTGACTAAAAAATTATTTAGTCAACTAGTTAGTCAGCTAAAAAACACTAATTAATTCGGGTAGTAATTGGCTAAAATTATAATACTGTATATATATATATATACTGTATATAATTTGCATAGTGATAGTTAATGGCAATTTATAGTCACTAAAAACTAGATTATTCAGCAACTAGTCAACGTTAATTGACTCTTTTCATTGGGAAGTTTCGTCAGATAAACTCAAAACGTGGATAAGTACCCACCTGCCACCTGGCTGGAGAGAAGTGGTACCACTTCTCTCCAGCCAGGTGGCAGGTGGGTACTTATCCACGTTTTGAGTTTATCTGACGAAACTTCCCAATTATATCTATGACATGTTAATGAAAAGAGTTTAGTTTTTAGTGACTATAAATTACCCTTAACTATCACTATGCAATATGCAAATTATATATATACAGTAAACATCCAACAATGAACCTGGAAAAGGAAAAGGTATACACAAGAAATCCAAACTGCGATAACGAAGAGAAGATCAAAACAAATGTAAACAAATATTAGCGTAACAAATTTAAAATAGAAAGAAAATGAAAAAATTTCGAAAATGTGTTTAACATTAGCTTTGACCTAATGTTTATCTGTATGCTTGCGCTTTTGTAACCTGATCATTAACATTGGCGCGTAAGCATCCAAAATCATCCCGCCATCAAACCACAATGTATATAATTAGCTTCATTCGCCATCATACTGTACAAATTTGTAATAATTAAATAAGGATGCATCGTTAGCCATAAAGTCTGAACAATTGAGTTTATAAATGTATAGTAAACAATACTATATACTGCTTAATATAAAATAGAAGATTGGACAAACTTTAGCGACTAAGTTAGAATAAACCACCCAAAAGAGACAATACACAAAAAAAGATGTTCAAATAAACAAACTATTACTTGCTATAGCAATATTATTTATAATCAGTGTTGTTCCTGGACTATGTCCATGGACATGTGGACATAGACACTCCACGTCCATGGACATGGACTCTCTATAGTCTCTCTATAGTCTCTCTATGTCTAGGAACAACATTGTTTATAATTACTGTATTAGCATATAAAAATCATACTGCGTAGACTTGGAATAACGCTCACCTGCGCGTTATTTAGAGTACGCCCATGTACGTTATTTTGAAAGAAGGGTTGATTTTTTCCCTTAATCATAATAAGATTTGAAAAAATGGTCCGGAACTAGGTTTAGTACTAAGTAAACCCACTTGCCTCAATGCGAGGAACAACTTTTGTTAGGATTCGAAAGTAGGCTTACTTAGTACTAAACCTAGTTCCGGAGCATTCTTTGTTTCTTTACTTTTATTGAGATGCGCGTTAATTCGGAAACGCCCATGGGCGTTAATTCGAGGCCGCATATACTATTTTAGGGAGTTCTGATTTTCGAAATAAGCGTTATTTATACGGTAACCAATTCCAATAAAAAATTTATATGTACAATTTTGATAGCTATAAAAATAATTGCTTCTAAATTATATTTATATTTAAAGCGTTATTTAAAGTAGTAATTATACTAGGACTTAAATTTTATACGTAGATTAATAATTAAAAACTTCTCTTATTTGTTTATTGTCAAGTACAGTATATATATTCGTTTCTGTTTTGATTTTAAGCTTAATACCTAGGGATGTTAATCGGTCCCGCCAATAGATAAAGTCATAGAAAAATAACTTTTCTGTAACATTAGTTTTTGAGTAATTAAGATGGGACCGATTAGGGACCGACTAGCTAAATTTTCTCCACACTGTTCGGTCCCTAATCGGTCCCATCTAAATTACTCAAGAACTAATGCAAAAACCGATAAACTTCTATTTGAAAATGTTACAGAAAAATTATTTTTCTATGACTTTATTTATTGGATGAATATCGGTTAAAAAATGCCAATTTTTTATATATCTTGCTTAAATTCGGCTGATAATTACTGCGGGACCGATTAACATCCCTATTAATACCGCACAATCTACATTTCGTTGCGAACTTTATAAATTAATTTAATACGTACGTACACAGGTTTTGTATACCAAATTTGTACAAGTGGACTATTAAAACGAATCTAAAATGATACGTTTTTTATCCATAATTGACTGCACGATTTTTTTATTTTTTATATACTTTGCTTTTATAATTAGTGTATTACTAGTTAATAAGACTATATAATATAAAGTATATAGTTAATAATTTAATGCTTTAGAGTCAGTATAAATAATTCCTGGAATTACCAAATTATTTAGTATTAATTTGCAATATATATACAGTATACAGTGCAGTGTTGTCATGGGACACCGACAACGGACAGTCCGGGACGGGACGTCCCAGACATTTTCGCCAAGATGTTAACATCCCGGACAATTAAAAATTATAATAAGAGTGTCCTTTTTAGCCAATGAGGTCGCTTTATAAACTTTGTGATATAGGACACCATCACGGACATGGGACATCGTCCGGGACTGTCCGCGTCCCTGAAATTTTAACGGGACAACGCCCATGTACAACACTGGTATACAGTATATACCGTAGTGCACTGACCAAAGTATCCCCCTTTTTCAATATCCCCCCTTGCAAAGTACCCGGTGCAAAACACGAGACCTCTATTAATTAAATATAGGTTTTTTAAAATTTTTAGACTGCTTATCGTAAGTGCAGAAAATGTATATGCTTGAAATTTTTTTTTCTTGCGACACTGGCCCGTGGCTGTATAATATACCCGGGTCTTTTGTAAGTTTTTTGTTGGGTATTTTGTATTAGACCCCGGGTCTTTTGGTCAGTGCACTACAGTAATCTGCTTTTTTATATAAAGAACCTGATAAGATATACAGTATATAGTATTAAAAGAAAGATAAGCTTCTAATAAAAAAAAAAATAGATGATTGTTTTTTTTTTTTCTAATTTTTTTTGTAAAATGTAAATTTTTATTATTTTTTTATTTTTTATTTTTTAATTCTTTGACAGTCTTGCCAGTGCTCTTTTATTTGAGACTATATTTTAGGTGAGAGTTGAACTCTCTCAAACAATACAAATCATTCATAACCATAACAGGGAGTCCCATGATTGCAAGCCTGACATCACCTGGCTGCGATAAAACATGCCCACATGTGACTTGTTGCACCAACCTGTAAACAAGTTAGATAAACTTTGTCAGCCCATCAAAGCTTTTTCCTTCATATTCTTTTTCTTTACTGAGAGCAAAAGAAAGTGATGATCTTATATCTAATACAAAACCACCGACAGTACCAAGAGAACAAAACGAAAAACTAACTAAAAAAAACAAATAGAACAAAGGGGAATTTTTAAAGGAAAAAAAAAAGGGTACAATGAAATATAAAAAAGAAAAACAAAAAGAAAAGCCCAAGGGCCAACAAAGGGGAGAACTACCTCTATCAAGAAGCAGTACAAATAGAATGAAAGAAAAAAGAAAAGTACACTATTATAACCTGTGCCAGGTTTAAGAAAAAATTTTATAACAACTGCAACATTTGTATATTTCGACTATAAAATCTAACAAATTTTTATCCAACTACCAGCCACTTCCGAATGCCTCTTTTGCCAGAGACCTGATCCCAGTCACGTGGAGGACCTATATCCATAGAGTATATCATGTATTGTATCTACTAATAAACAAGACATGTAGTTGCATTCCTAGATATGTCCGAATTTGGGAGATAAACAATGCCAATCTTTTGGAGAGGATAAGCCAAATTGCTCACTTTTGTTGAAAATTTTGAAAAAGACCGACCGAGCAAAAAACACCTAGGGAGAGACCACTTGCACCCAAAGAAAGTAGTTATATCTATGTAAAGACTCAACAACTTCTAAACCTTTTTCTAGAAAAAAAGTGAGGCATCTATACTCTTTTTTCGGTGAGTGATAAACTCTAGGCTTGTCGGCAAGTAGCATATGAGAACTACTTCTAAATGACAAGTGCCATATGTGCAGTGAGTGATAAACTCTGAAGAAGTTAGCAGGTAGCATATGAGAACTACCTCTAAATAACAACTACCAACTTATAGCGACTAGTATGCTCTCCATGTTTTATTAAGTGCTATTGTGTTTTTACAAAAAATGTGTTTAGATTTTTTGGTACAGATGATCATCAGAAAGAGTTGTAAATTTTTATTATTAATTTATTTATTGTATATTATTTTTTATAGAGTTTGATTGATTTTATTATTATTTATTA